AAATGTATATTTCAGCAAAGATTTATTCTTCTTACGTACATCCATACAGACACACATGAATTATTTGAGCATAACTTCCATTTAAGGTTTAACCAAATATGCAGTAACTCAAAATCGGGCAGGACTGATACTAAAAATAACTATATTAAAAATAATGTTGGTACTAGCAGCCACAATTGTTGAAATTGTAAAATCTCCCAAAAACATCTCTCTGAAATGTCCTGAATCAAAATCCCTCCTGTTCTAATGTAACACCTTAAATGTGTATCTGGGGGAGATGGGCTGCATATACATTTAATAAATAAATGATAATAAATAAAATATAGCCTATTCAGATGCTTTCCTGTGGCATAGAAGACATGGCATGGAACTTAAGGACACTGCTTTGTTAGTGTAGTTGATGTACCTCCTGTTCAACCAGAATCTTGGACAAAATTGCAACCAACCGGCCTTATAAAATCATATGATTGCTTCTTAAAGACTGGTGCTATGGTGGTACCACTTGCTGTGTTACATAATATGTAATAGTGCTTGCTTCTGGAAGAAAGTGCAGAGGAATAATCTCAAAGACTGTAAAAGATTACTTATTGTTTATTCACTCAGTTGATACTGTTCCTTTCTGATTACATTTGAATACTCAAGGCAGTTTATAGCAGAAACAAGCAAACACGCATAAGATAATACAAAGGTCTAAAACACAATTGTTTATATTCTCTTCCTAGCTAAAGAGAAGTGTCTTTAACTGCCTTTCCAACTGTGGAGAAAGAGGGGATCAAGCATACCTTCTGAGGGGGTGCATTCCATAACTTGCTTCTCTTGCACATTTTAATGCCTAAATAGGTTCATAACAGGAAAAGCATTCCCTTAGTCAGGCCCTAGCTATTAAGGGCTGAAAGGTTAGTGCTTAAACCTCAGATCATGCCAGAAAGTAGTTAAAACTATTTCCCTTTTAGGACTTTGCTTCTGTTGTCCCAATTAAACCCTAGTGTGTGGGCTTCATAACTGGAATCTTTGCCATTATTATATTTATTTTAGGTATTTCCATTTGTTGGTGGAAATAGTTTTTCCAAGGAACTTACCTCACAGAGATAATACAACTATTTATAACTAATTAATGACTTACTAGAAAGCTATAACCTGATGTGACATTTTAAAATCCCTGCTTTATTAATTTGTATTATATTCCTTTATTCTTTTTCCATGTTTTCTCTTGTACTTTATTTTCTTTATACACACACATGCGTGCACACACACATATGCATACATATATAAAGTAGTATTAAATATTGATTGAAAGACAGAATGTAAATTGCTTTAATTCATGAATTACATGAAACTAGTTCATTAGCACCAAATACCATAAAAAGTCAAGGGAAATAGATGAGTCTTAACAATAGTCCTTTCAGGTAAGCTTCAATAAAAGTAGATGGCTTAACCAATAATGGGTTTGTTTGGTTTTAGCTTAACACAAAATGTGAATTTTGTCATTATTATTTATAAGCAATGGTTTAGAATTATATGTGAATATAATATTGTATGGTATTGTGTAACATTATATAATATAGACCAGTCCACTGTGATGTATGCAACATAGTATCTTTGAAGTTGGTTATAGCTTAATGTGATGTATAAACTCAGCCCTTATCTGAAAAGTAAATTTGAAGTTATGTAATGAATAAATAGAAATGAAAGAGGGAATACCCAAGGATAGGATTTTTAAAAATAAAAACTGGTCCGTTAATTTTTTCTGTCTTCCTCACACACTTTCACAAAAGTATATTTATATTAATGCCTCTAAAACTTGACTTTAAAAAATGCTGAACATAACTGGTTAACAATAGATTATGAGAGTTGAAATCCCATCGTTGTAGAGAGCACCCAATTATGGAAGGTTGGTTCAAACTGATCTGAGTAGTTACTGGAAAGCAATTTGAGTTCCAGTCACAAATAAATAGTGGTTGATTGCAAATAGTTGATAAAGCAAAATGAAAGTAAGAAATAAGAAATGTGCAAAGGTATCTGTATAAAATAGGCATCATCTAATAGGCAACTATCAGTTATCTGATTGTTTCAAGAATGTACTTGAGAATTCACTTACAAGGGTTAGCAGCAATTCCCATAATATCTGCTCTGTGATTTCAGCTCGTGAGGTTTGAAGAGGGGAAAAAAAACCAAACCCTAAGGTGCTCCAACAATAGTAAGCTGTGAAAAATAAAAGAGAAAATTTCATGCCTGTTCAGAAAAGAGCAGTTTTGTCATGGTATTAACAAATGTAAGGAATGAAATTTGTGAAGCATTACAAATGTATGTTGGAGGAGCAGATGTATGGACATTGTCATGGAGAAAATCTGTGGTCACTAGGAGTCAAAAATGATTTGATGGCGCATTATCAAGATCTATGGACAAACACACAAGTGGCTATAAATTGTCTATAAAAAGCATATATTCTACTCATCTATAAAGTGGTTCTAGATCTTTAGAGAGTTAGTTCCAAGTGAATTTCTGAACATATGATAAGCAATATAGGCTTCACACAGGGTTTGACTTATTTGGACTTATGGAAGCAAATACAGAGTAAAAACATTTAAAAATTGAGGATCATCAGCAAAAAATTTAATATTAATATTGTTAATGTTCAGGTTTTTTTTATTTTTAAGAAGTTGGAGTTTTAACAGATGGGAAGGTTCTTAAAATGGTGGGAATGGGGTTTGCAATTATATTGGGGATAGCAGAAAACAGATGTCCTAGAAAAGGCCAAAGGGAAAGACATACACAATTCCTTTAGGGAAGTAGATCAGAAGAATATATTAAATTTAATGAATGCATAATAGTTATTTATGTGCAGCATACAATATGGGTAGTTGAGAGATCTGATGGTGTGAAAATCTGAATAAAAGTGCTAGAAAGAATAGTGACTGCAGTAGATAGGAGGATGAGAGTGGACACATAATATAAAATGTTGCCAAGAAAAAAAAGTGGGCAGAATGTAAGGGCTGGTTCTAAAGTTATAGAAACAGTCTCATTGTCCTTGTCCTTGTGATCTGTTTCCATTATACTTGGGTAAGTTTCAGATAGCACAAGTACAAGAGGAAGACCAAGTCATTGTGATGTGCAAAGAATCCACCTGAATTTATAGAACAAGGGAAGGGTGGTCAAAACAATGATTTTAACCTCATAGATTGGATTTTAGGGGGTTTGTCTGTTCATTTTAATTCTACGTGTATGCTGTAAACCACTCAGAATCTTCAGAAGTAGATGGCATATAAACTTAAGTAAATACATCAAAATAAATAAATAAATTCTGCAATGGGACTAAGAATACTTCCTCACTGTAGTCCAATTTGTAAGATTTAATACCTCACTGATCATAAGAATAATCTCTTTGTCTAGTAGGTTTATATCCTTTCATATTTGCTGCTTTGTTCAGAAAAAAAGATCTGGCCCTTCTACCACCTTTTCTAGCTTCTAGCTTCTAATTAGGCTTTAGTTCTTGAGTGGAAAAAGTCAGGATTGGGACTAGGGTGGTACAGAGGAAAAAATATGGTTTACAGCCCAGAGCAGGCTTGGAGGGCGTTTGTCAGGTCCATATTGAAGAAATAAATGTAGGGACTAAAGACTTAGGAAGCCAGGGTGGTGCAAACACCTTATAAACCAGAATTCATGAAACTAAATAATAGAACACTGTGTTTTGGGTTTCAGAAAAATATTTATGAAAATGTACTTTTCTGCATCTTAAGTTGCCCAGATTGTGGGAGATTGGTTGGAATCAAACGGAAGCTGTGTAACGGCCCATTGAACAGGCAGCATTCTGTCCTGTTCCAGAACAATAATTCTAGCCCTTAGAGTTGGGTTTTTAGTCTAGAAAACTTTTGTTTAAATCCCTCAGTGGATTAGAACTGTACAATGTAAGGAACTGCCTGGCTTAGTATGAATTTATCTGTGCATTAAGGTTAACAGGGAAAGTCATTTTAAAGGTGCCTGTATTTTTACTTACATAGCTTTCAAGCTGCAGAATGTTTTCCTTGAGAAGTTGCATTTAGTCCTTACTCTTTCTGCTTTTAGGAAAGGAAACAAGATTTTCCTATTCAGCTAGCATGTTGAGTTGCACTAATATTAGTTGCTTTTACTGATTTCTATTAGCAAGCAAGCAAGCAAGCAAGCAGATTTTTATTATGTGTATTTTCTTTTAGGCTGCTAGTCTCCTTGAGTTGCCCTCTGATTAGAAAACTGGGGATAAAATGGAATTATCATTACCATCATCATTATCATCTGTTGCTAGGATGATTCTAAGAACTTTCTTTTCTAGGTTCCTACTGGCTACTTCAGAAGGGGAAGTTCAACCCTGGGCTCCAGTTCCTTTCTTGCTTCCTCTGATAAGGCTCTGTGACTGGCTCTTTTTAAGCAGTGGGAAAGCTTTACAAGGATGAGGCAGGGTAGGAAATAGGCTTGGATATATCTTTGCAACATGTGCCTCAATTTATCATTTGCAAACTCTTTAAGAACCTGTTGGAAAATACTACGAAGAAGATTATCTACTTTTCTTTAACTGGTGAAGCATCCGTGGCTGAGTCTGTTCTCCTGTATTCAGGAAAGTTTTTCTTTTTTTCTCTACTGTATAGTTAAAGAAAATGTCCCTGTAGGCCAAGTTGTATTTTCCATCTTGAACTTTTGCCTATGCAGTATAAGAAAACAGCTTACGTCCTATTTCTTGATAATTAAGCTGGTCTTCTCAATTGTGTGCCTGAATGACTTAAAAGCAAGCTGTAGCTTGTTCTCAAATTGTTTCTTAAAAATACAAGTATATAATTACATTTAAAAATAAAAAAACAAAACCCTCCTCTAACTCAAGAATTAGAAGCACAAAAGGATCCCTGGAAACTTATCAGATAAGTATTTCTTTATTTAACTCAACATATGGAATTATGTTGCCAATAGCCTCTTTAAAGTCACACTGTTAATTAGCTATAGAGTGTTTCAAACTTGTTTTTTTCTTTTTTCAGAGATCCCTACTGAAATCCTCTGCAGCTCATTGACAATGGTAAGAAATTATCACTACTACTGTTTTTGTGCAAGAGTTTTCTTTTACTTCTCCTTATGACTGTTCTGTAAAATACATAGTATCTGCTTAGGGTATGGAAAGGAGCACACTGGGTCAGTCAAAATAGAGAGTTTAATTTTATTTTCAAGACTAGCAAAATGAATATGAATTGCTTCCTAAGTCAATTCATTTTCAGTGGTTTCAAAAAAAACAAATGAGCAAATGTCCCCCATTCCCTAAGAACTTTTGTTACAGATAGAAAATAGTATCCCCCTGGATACTTCATTTGGCATCCACCAGATTCCCTGCCTGTTGCTTTTAAGGATACTTTTTGTTAACAGATATAAATGAATAAGAACCTAGCATGGTGCAAAACAAAATGGCATCCTCCAGTATTATCTTTATTTTGAGTGGTCCATATAGTAACTCTTAGAAAATGCAAACGTATGTACAGCCGCTTTATCCCAGAAAATTAAGCTGGAATGATGGATACCATCTTTGGAGTGGGTAGAGAATGGCCTGAATTGTCCTTGCCCATTTGCCTTTAGTAAATAGCTGTTTTTTGACCAGCCACTCACAGATAGCCATTTTGTCTGAGCAGCAAAACATGTGCTCAAAATTCCAGATGTGCCCACATGCTCACTGATTCCTGAATTATTGGAAATTCAAAACAACCTCTGTGGGTCCAAAGGCTTCCTTTGGAGGCTTAAAATCTTTTATTTTATTTATTTATTTAGGTGCCTTCAAGTCAGTCTTGACTCCTGGTGACTGTCTGGACAAGTCCCTGCAGTTTTCTTGCCAAGATTTTGGAAGTGGTTTGCCATTGCCTCCTTCCTAGGACTGAGAGAGAGGGATTGGCCCAAGGTCACTCAGCTGGCTTTGTGCCTAAGGTGGGACTAGAACTCACGGTCTCCCAGTTTTTCAGTTTAGACTGTACTTATGCAAGGACAGCACCTTGTCAGCTGATAATAAGTAGTGTTATGGATTGGTTTTGACTCTGTCTCACTAATGAAATAGGATTTCTCAGTAGAGTGGGCTTGCCTACTCTTTAAACAACTTTGCATATACCCCAAATTTGCTTGGTGGGGATTGGATGATCTTTTGGGGAAAATTTGGGATGGGATGGAGAGAAGAGCTAGGAAAGAATACATTTCATAATAGGATATTGGGTATAGGGTATTATTTATCTAAGATTGTTCTCCTCCATGTTTCCCTCTAAGAGTCTACCAAAGTAGCAAACAAAATTTATAGAAAGTTGAGCCAAAAATATACATATTGACAACCCAAATTGTCTTTGCTATTCTCTTTATAATTGCCAGGTGACAATTCAGGAGCCCTGTGGTTGCCCTGGTCTTCCTTTTGGCTTGTCTGCAATCCCTGTCACTAAACAATCAGGGCCAGTCATGCATCAGGATTTTTTTTTTCTTTCCTCCCAGCTGCTGCGTAAGAAACTAAGAGGCTGTTCCTTTCCTTTATTTTTCTCCTTTACAGCCAGATAGAAAATTGGAAAGAAATTATGTAAAGGGACTTGGGACACCGTGTGCACAATAATCTCTGGAAACAGAACAAAATTAGACCCTACTTGATACTGGGGGAGAAACCAGCAAAAGAAAAAGCCACTTAGAAAATGAATGAAATCCAACGAAGGGCTGCAGAGGGGGAAAGAAAATCCTCCAATGCATCACTGTAGGAGTTGGGCAGTGACTTGGAATGCTGACAACTACTCCATTCTTAGTGCCCTCTCGCTTTCATCTTGGTCATATACGCAAGTAAAGCTGCTATTGAAGCATTAGAAATAATTCCGCTTGTTTTCCCTACTTTGCTTTGCTGTTTTACACCCTCCCTCAAAAACAAAAACAAACATTCATTAAATGGCCCAACACCACTTAGATAGCTCACAAGAAAATCCAAGATTTCTGCATAAGTATTTTTTATTGAAAAAAATTAGAATGCCATCATCAAAAGAGTTTCAGCAACTGTAGTTAATAAAGAACTAGTCCTATTTATAATATAAATTCAAAATTGTTGTCCTGTTCTACTTAATAGACTACGTGACCCCTCTTTTCAGCAGGCTGGCTTGCTTTGGTCAGTCTTTTGTTTTTAAAAGATTTGTTCTTCCCTTGCATTTTACTGACAGTGTGAGAATTAACTCTCACACTTATATGCACCACAGGTTGCATTAGCTTGCACCTCACTGCTCCCTGAGTGGGGCCTCCACATCCTCCTTCCGGAGCCCTGCTGCACCCTCCCCATAATTTCTGGGAAGAGCTGCCTGGGTATGCCATCAGCTATTCTACTCTGGATAAACTCTCTCTGCCAAGGGAGGGAGGGAATGGTAATTCCCTTCTTTCAGTAGCCTTACTTGATGGGAAGAAGTATGGTAAAGTCTGGATCCCTTTCCTAGAATGAGCACAGGTTGTTTAGAAATATTCTCTTTCTCTTTCTAGGTTAGACGCTAGGAAACAATTGGGGGATAAAAGGGATAAAAGACATGCAGTTGTTTTCTGAAGAGGTTCATGTCAATCGCTGTCAACCCATAGGTGCTCTCTCACGAACCCACCCAAACCAGGACAAGTTCACACAGCCCTAATCTCAATCCGTGAACTAAAATAGAATCTATATTGCAGCTAGCTTCACTAGCTGATCCTAGCTTGCTGACCAGATTTACTAGACCTATCCTGTTGCTGCTGACTTGGTGGGAGCTTTTCCGTTTCCTTTTCCTTTGATTCCAGCCACTCTCTGAGGGGAAAATACAAAGAGAAAACCCAAAGACAAAAAGAAAATGGAAGTTCTCTTTATTTCTTTTTAAAAGCCCACCTTAGAAGGAAACCCATTCTCTGACTGGCTGATAGATGTTTGAATTTCCTGGGCTCTGCTGTCAAGCTAGCTTTTCTTTACCCTTTCAGTGGCTAAGCTTCTTGAAGTGGAATTTCCCAACATTCACTGCATCCTCATTGGTGTGATCAAGATTTGCACCACCATTGTGAACAGAGTTGGAAAAGTTTACTTACCCCTCCTTTTCTGTTTCTTTTCTAGCTGCCAGTTTAGTTCTGAGGGAGCAGAGGTAAAATGGAAACAGTTGGAATTTATTGATTTATTAATTTATTTTTTCACAAGATTTATAAGGCCATCCAACTCAAACAGTGTGACACTGGCATAAAAAACAATAACAACCCCACCACCGCCATATAACATTAAACATCTACAATACATAAATATAAAATACAAAATGTATGCATGTGTGTGTAATATATCAGTGTACACATATGCAGAGTGTATAATAACACAGAGGTTTTCCTGTTATACCAACCCTTAATATTAAGGATGGAACCTCATTCAGTCACAGTTCTCTATGATCATATGAACAGTTACTTCTTTGTCTTACTTGAATAAGTATTCTATACACTTGTCTATGCTTTAAAAATGCAATCCTATACTATATTATCTGGGAGTGAATGCCATTAAACTCATTCAAACTTACAACTGAATAGATTTGTATAAGATTTCACTCTCATCCTATCTAAGGTACATCTTTATGCTACCTTAATCATGTAGGAGCACACTGTTTGCCCATTTATTTATTAGATGATGTCTATTGCCAGTAATATATGTTGGAAGAGGATAAGGTATGTTTTAAGAGAGTGAAGCCTTATTTGAAGTATTATATATATTTAGTGCTCTGTTCTTGATTGCCATAATATGGGTTTGGTGCTTTTGGTGCAGGGCAGAAATGCCACAGGTAAAGACTTGTTTCAAATGGAAATTATGCTGTGGAAAACTGTTGAAATGAAAACTTTTAATGCAAATATTATACCTTTTTGTTTGATAGGAAAAAATAGTAATCCTCTCATAATGTCAAAAGAGCATCAACCCAGAAGGGTCTTCCATGGTTATCTCAGTCCTGTACAGGTGATATTTTGCCATTTCGTACAATCTGTCAAAGCCAGTAATTCTTTAAACCACCAATTGGGATGTCATACAGTTTTACTGATTGATTTGAATTTAATTTCTTGGAACTTCTGTTTCTTGCTATCACTTAATTTAATTTAAGACAGTATGCCTGGGGTCCTTGACCATTATTCATTATGCTGTATTTGAGAATTAGTCCCAAAATACTTCTGCCTAAATGAGCTTAAAATAGAACACGTGCATGTTGAGATTTTCCCATTGTAATTTCAGGGCATAGTCCTGACTATGCCACCTAGAAAAGATAAGAAACAAATCACTATTGCTGAGGAAAACCACTTTCTATGAATAGGAATCATTTCTTGCAAGCAGAGATCTTCCAACAGAACAGAGAAGATTAAAAAAAAAAAGTCAGGGAAAGTAGGATATGAGTTATACCTGCAGTTAGATGAGGCAGGTCAAAATCCCTTCTGTTCTTGGAATTTTTGGATTTTGATTCAAAGCTGCCTTGAATGTTTTCTAAGTAGAAAACATGATACAATATTTTAAATAATTTAGCTAGTCTAGTATCATTTCATCCTAGTCTGCCTAACTTTTAGCTCTGTTGGGTTCTCAAATAAGTGTGCATTGGAGAATCTTTGATTTCTCCTTGAAGATTCACTGCTGATTTCCCTTTAGAATAGTTCCTTTCCTCTCTGAACATCTTTCCAAGAGTGATATAAACCCCGCAGTCACAGACACTTTGAATTGGAAGTCAATCCAAATTATATTTGTGGGCATTTAGATCTGAGTGTGCTGTCCACAGTTAATGACAGTAGAATTCTTTTAGGCACCCAAAACATGTTCAGCCCATTTGAAATGCTTGTCATCCCTCCCATTTGAAATGCAAGTCTCCATTTGCTTATTGCGTACTTTTCTTAGAAGGATGGCTGTGCTAAGAGAATAGCAGCTGCTGCTGCTGCTGCTACAACTCTAGCACTTGCATGAGAATACGGATGAATATGGAGAATGATGCAGGTATTGAACCTGGCCCACTGTTTTTAAGCAATCTAGATTTTGCCATGCTGAACATTCAGTTCATTGTTAGTGGGACAAACTGTGTATCATCATCTTGTGGCCACCAGTTGCTGAGTATGGGTTGTGCACAACAAGCTCTTGCTCTGTGTTTAATTAACCTTGCCTCCTCTGATTTCCCTCCTGCAAGCCAAATGTGAAATTTTTGTTGTTTTGGATCCTGTCATTCATTTGTGGCAAGTTAGGCATTATGCTTTATAGTAGAGTAATGATGGCATAGTTATGTGGAGTGTTACGGGGGTTGCCAGATCAAGTTGTGGTGGAACAGAAGGATCTGGGTCAAAGGGGGCTAATTAATATGTTAATGCCTTGTATATATTGAGTTATAAGTATAGATATTGAATTAACTTGTATTGATAAATTTTTTCAGATTTTTCTAGTTTGTCCTGATCTGGCTGGAAGGAGCTATTCCTCCAACTGAAACCAAATTATCATTATATGCTAGAGACAGTATTTTTGCTAATGTATTCCAAAGGTTATCTGTCATTGTAGCAACATTTATACTGTTGCTGAATTGTGTTCAATTAGTGACAGAATAACTCATTACTTGTTTTTGGAAAACAGTACTGCCTGTCCATTGGGTCTTTAAGTAATACACATTCATTCTTCAGTTTCTCTCCCATATTGTCCTTGTTTTAAGAATTATTCTGAAGTCTACTTCTGTACAAAAATCTATCTTAGAAATAATATTTTATTTTAACTTTGTTTAGGAAATTGATATGGATGCCCATCTTAACACTGAGTGACTAACAAACAATACTTTGACAAAAGACATTTATATCAATTTATGTATTTAAC